CCTCTGAATTAGATCCATTCCTCTGAACTACCTTTAGCTGCTTATGAAAATTACTCTTTAAATCTAAATTATTCATCTAACAATCAACTCTCCTCAGCAACTCTTTTAAAGTGAAATGGGCCACTCTTCAGAGGAGTGGGATTGCGATCAGATGATTTGCAGAATCACTAGTTAGACATTGAATACTGGTCACCCAAGCAACTGGTACAATTCAGAAGAGAGATGACCTTTTTCCAGAGAAAAATGTCTCATTCTCACTCGGGCAGTTAAGGTAGGTCAGATTAGCTAATTTTATACTGAAAAAGTCTAGGGTAAGTAGCACAGGCTCTGAGGGCTAAAAATTATGAGAATCTTCCCTCACATATTGTAAGTTATTTTCTTTCATTGTCTTCTAGGGGAAGAAAATGTTTAAAACTTTCTAACCTTTAGGAAATATTAGCATTTATTGATGACTTTACTCAGAGCATCCTTCACCTCTGTAGTATCAGACTGTAGATGAATGGGTTGAGGAGCAGAGTCACAACAGTGTAGAAAACTGGGAAGAATTTCTTCAGTGCTTTTAGAGTCCTAGTTTTTGGCAGGATGTAAAAAAGTATTAAGCTTCCATTAAAAGTTGTAATAGCAATGAGGTGGGAAAAGCAAGTGGAAAAAGCTTTTTGCATCCCAGTGTGGAAGACATTCTCAGGACAGTGGTGATGATACACATGTAGACCACCAGGGTTAGTAGCAAAGGGGGTAGCGCACATACTAATGACAGGATGAACACCAACATTTCACTGGAGTGAAATCACAAAAGAAATTATCGATAAACTTGGGACCACAAAAGGAATGTTGGGAAATCAGGAAACAGCTTATGGCCATAACAAGGAAACCATTCACCCAAGACCAAGCCACAAGCTGCAGACAAGCATCTGCTGTTCATGACAGCTCTGTAGTGAAGGGGTTTGCATACTGCTAAATACCAATCATAGGACATCACTGATAAGAGAAAGCTTTCAGTGACTGCTAGGGAACCAAAGAATTAAAATAGTGATGCAGCCGCCAATAGAAATACTTTTATCCCCAGTCAGAAAGATGTACAGGGCAAGATGTACAGGGAAAGATGTACTGGGCAGGATGGTAAAGCTGTAGCAGGTCTCCAAGCAGGAGGAGTTGCACAGAAAGTACATGGGTTTGTGGAGGTACCAATCAACGATGATCAAAACAAAAATGAGGATGTTGAAGTCACAGTCACAATGTAGATCACCAAGAAAAGGAGGAGAAAAGATTGCATTTCTGGGATATTTCCAAATTCCAGGAGCAGAAAAGTTGAGATGACTGTTTTATTTCCACATTCCCCATTTGCCATGTATCAAGCCAAGAGGAAATGCGTCACAGCCTGGAATAAAACATCAAGAACTACATTTAATTATTGATCTATCAGCACCAAGTAATTACAAAAGAAAGATGTTATTGTTAACATTGCATGGTTGTGTTGTTTATTTTCTTTTTAAGCAGTTCTCGAACATTCTCCAGGTAATAATTTATGAGAGACATTATTGGATATTTTAAATTTTGTCCTATGAAAACTTAGCAGATTGCTAAGGCTATCAGTAGAATTTCTGCCCTTCTTTGCCCAAATATACTGTACAAATGGAAAGTAAAAAATTACCTAAGGAAATTTCAGTTACACTACAGTGAATATTTAACAGCATGTGTGTTTGTCTACCTATTCATTCTTCCTGCTGTAATTTCCTTCATATCCATTGTGCACTAATGTTCATCCTAATATTTTCATCCTGGACCAATCCTAGAGGATAAAAGAGAGTTATAAAATAATCTTTTCTGATTTACCCAAAATTAATCTGATTTACCTCTTAAAAATGTGATTTCAGCCTAGTTTGATATGATACACCTGCACTTGAAGTGCCTTTGCTCTGTAGCTGAATCAGGTCTTCCAGTGCATAACCCTTCTCCAGGTGGCTGTGACTCTGCTCTGCCTGCCTGTGTCCTGCCGAAAGATAAGCCTCCATCTGGAACCGATATGAGATGGGTCAGTTGTCCCTCTGCTTATTTTTCCTGCTGAAATAACAAGTGTCCCTTGGCATTACTGCATTTGGGAATTTGTCATTAACAACCCACAATACCTCATATGTTTTTCAGATTTTTCAGACTGACACAACTGGAACAGGGTGAAAACAGAATTTTCAGTCTGAAAGAAGTTCTGTACATACTTTTCCTATTTGTCTTTATAATTTATTTTCTCCCTTACTTTTTTTCCCATTATCAGTCAAAAATTCAAGAAACTGCTTATTTTTGTGTGACTATTATTTACATTAAAATGATTTCTTTTTCCTAAGCTGTGTTCTATAGATGTAGTACTGGGTCTGGCTGGGATGGAATTAACTTTCCCCACCACAGCCCTCACAATGCTGTGCTTTGTAACTAGAACTGTGTTGATAACACACCAGTGTTTGGGCTACTGCTGAGCAGTGCTCGCACAGCATCAATGCTGAATGTCCCACACCTCCCTCCTCCCTCCCCAAAGGCCAATAGGCTGGGGGTGGGCTGGGAGAGGACACAGCTAACCCAGTCTAACCAAAGGGATATTCCATGTTGTATGACATCATGGTCAGCAATCAAACCTAAGAGAAAGGAAGAGGAAAGGGGAGCATTCATTATTAAGGTGTTTGCCTTCCCAAGCAATCAGTACATGTACTGAGATCCTGCTTCCCAGTAAGGGGCTGGACACCGCCTGCTGGTAGGAAGTAGAGAATAAATGTTTTTTTCTGTTTCTTCCTTTGCTTCTGTGCACAACACTTCCTTTTTTCTTTGTTAAACTGTCTTTACCTTGACCCATCAGTTTTTCATCGTCTTTTTGCCTCCTGTCCCACTGAGGAGGGAGAATGATGGAGTGGCTTTGGTGGGCACCTGGCAACGAGCAAAGGTCAACCCACCATAGATCTCTATGGTTTGACTGTATTTTACACATTGCAAACTGGATTTTACCTCTTAAAATGGACCAGAACAGACCAGAGCCTTCAAACTCACATCAATTATGTTTAAACTCTAGTTAATTATTGAAGTTCCATGTATGCCCTTATTCATTAATATTTATGTGCATTGTTATTGAAAGCAGAAAAAATAAAAATGGTCATGGAGAGAATAAAATCATAACAAGAACCTTTTAGAAAAAAAGTATGTAGAAAGTGGGACTTAAAGAAAATGAGCCTGCTCCAGTTCAGCTGTCTAAGTTAAGCAGTTTAGATGGCTGAGACCAAGGTCAGCTCCTTTGCTGGTAAGAGCTGCTGTTGAGGGGGCTGACATCCTCCAGAGATGCTCAGAAGAGAGATACTGGAGGTCCAGCACCCTCAAACCACTCACAGTCAGCAAGTGGTCTCCATCAAGAGTCAGTGAGAACCTTCAGGTGTGTACCCCAGCTGGACAGAAGTATTGTGAAGGTGAAGGTAGGCTAAGAGATCAGCAGTTCCACATTTGGGGCACTTTTTGACCAAGCGTGCCACTTATCACCTGTGGCAAGGTAAGGAAGATCAGAGAGGCAGGAAAGTGTTCTCTAGCTGTTCAGATGGAGTGTGTAGCCTCTACACCTGGGACTCATTTGCCTAGTCATAAGCATCAGGTCTATTAGAGACAACATGGAGTGTTCCACCAGTTCTTGAGGGCAGCCATGGCCCACATCTACCAGCAGCACATGAATGACATTTCACCCACTTCCTCAAAGAACTTGATTTCCATGGGTATAGTGAGACTAACGAGACTTGGATGCACTGCAACAGAATTTGAACAAAGGCAGGTAGAACTGTCTGTACTGACTGAGGGTGTCATACTGCCACCACAGCCCTTGGAGTGGTCTTGTCTGAGAATCACTTCAATCCCGAGAGGCAGATTGAAGGAAACCACCCAGATTTGCTGGAGAAGTGAGAGTTGAATGCTATGCACACTCCCAGTGTGTGACAGCCAGGCTGTGCTCAGGGAGCAACACGTCTGAGGTGAAATGCAATTTGGCCCCTTGAGCGCTTAGAGACCACCACTGAGGTGGTTTTCTCAACCAGGGGATGGCTGCCAGCAAAATAAAAGCATGAGACTGGCTCATGTGAGGGAGGTGGAGACAGAGCTCATCTGCTCCAATCCAGCAGATGAGAGGACACACCCATGTCAAAAACAGGTATATAAATTTGAGCCTGTGTGCAAAGTCTCCCCGAGCTGGCCAGTATGTTGCTTTTGTTTCTTTGCAATCTACCACCTAATTAACAGCCCGTCACTAACCCATGTATGGCCCTGAGCCCAGCCTGCAGATCTGCAGCCAGTGCTGCAGGCCTGGCAGGGGGACAGTTTCCTGGAGCGATGAGTGCCACCTCCTCAGGCACCCGGATGACGTTGCCCTGGATGCAGGGCCCAGTTGGCAGCTGTGGCCCATTGCACCACACATGAGAGCAGAGCAGAAGGGCGGGCGGTGGGGGGAGTCTTGGCAGACTCCCTTTGGCCAGGAGCAGGCCCGCTGAGGGTTTTGCGGCCCCTTCTTTGGCTGTGCCCGGAGTACCCTGCGCTGGTGAGGGCTGCTGCCCCCGGCCCAGTGGTGTCCTGGGGTGCAGTTTGCAGACGCTCCCGCCCACTCACAGAACTACAGAATCACAGAATATTCATGGTTGGAAGGGACCTTTGAGATCATTGAGTCACCGCTCACCTCTTTGGCTTCCGAGGCAGGGCAGAGGGCCCAAGGATCCCAGTCAGATCCCCTTCACTGAGGGTGTCCGCTCTACCCTCCCCATTCCACAGCCTCTCAGGACACCCAGTAGCCCGGGTGTACACTGCCCCCACCCCCCGCCCCGGGAACCAGGCTCCCAGATGCTCGGGAGGAGGTTTGAGCGATTCCAGTGAAGATCCCGCTGTCTCCGCCCCCCCTGGCCCTGCCTCCCCTCCCCTCCTTCCCGAACTGTCCTCCTTCCCTTCTGTCTGCCTGCCCTTCCGCCTCTCTCACCATTGCATCACCATCCCTCCGCTTGCATTGCCCCGCATCTTCCTGCCTCCTGAGCATCTCTCGCTCTCTCCCTCCAGCCCTCCCCCTTCTGTTCCCGTATTTCATCCCTCTGCCCCTTCCTCTGTCTCCCCCTTCCTCTTCCATCTCCCCCTCCGTCCGTCTGATTGTCCCTGCTGACGCTGGCCTTGATTCTGGTGAGTGTCTTGTTGTTTGTGCTTCACTTTGTGACTCGCCTTATGTTCATTGTCCCTGTTCACTGAGGAGAGCTTACCCCTATTCAGTCCATCCCTCTGTCCATCCTTCACCCCTACTCCCCTGAGGACTTACACCCTATTTGCTCTGTCTGTCTGTCCACCCTGTCAGCACGATGCCGGGGTGGGGATTTTTATGGTGCTCCCCACCCTGACAACCCAGAGTGGGAACTGGGGAAATTGAGGCAAATGTGTCTGAACCAGAGAGATTTATGTGGATGGGTTTGGGGTGGAGGGCAGAGTCTTTCACCTCCTGGCACTTGGCTAGAAGACAGCCAGATATCATTTGAACTACACCCCTCCCCCTTAGCCCCCACCCTTCCAGTGCCTTTCTGGGATTTGCTCTGCATGGAATACCTGTCCCTGGCCTTGTTTCTCTCTCCATCATGTTTCCCTTATTACCTGGACTTTCAATCTGCCCTCACAAGCTGCTCCCTGAACATATCCTCACATGTGCTATTTCTTGTGGAGCTACATTGACACAATCAATGTTAGTGATCATCTTTTCTAAAATGGACCCCTCCATCTGTCCGTCCATCCATTTCAACAAAAATTCTAATGTCTCTCTGTTTGTGCACCTATCCATCCATCTGTCCCAAAATGGACCTTGTCTGCCGATCTATCCATCCAGCCATGGATGGAGAGCCATGTATTGTTCATCCCAATACAGTCCCATCCATCCAGCAATCCATCCATCCCTCCCTCTCTCCCTCCCTCCCTCTATCCACTCTTGCTTTCCCTTTCCACCTTCTTCCCTCCACTTTCCTTTGCTGTCTCTCGGTTCTCTTCAAGATTCTCCCATGTTGGTTGTGGGGTGCAGACCTCCTCAACACATGAACAGGAACTTCTGAACCCCTGGGTTTGCTCTGCCTGTACAGGGTGGGTTGGGGCTTCCTACACAGCTACATGTGTAGGATGGGAAATGACAAGGAATCTTCACCAATTAGGGGCTGCCTGGTGTTTCTGTGGATCTCTCCACTTACAGGAGGACCCTTCTTGTCTGCAGAAATGTCGCGTCAAAGCTTTGGACTTCTAGGAAAATCCTACGCCTATGACAGTGAGCTGGGGATCAGACACCTGACGGACATTTCGGGGATGGGAGGGGTCCCAAGGTGGGGACAAATAAAGGAGAACAGTAGGCAGATGTAGGGGGAAACCAAGATGACGCTGGTCAAGAGATCTACAGGAAACAGGCCGGGAACAGAGGTATGGGGGGAAAGGGAAGCTGAGGGAAAGGAAAGCAGACACTGTTTGCTCACACTAGACCCTCAGTAATGTTGGTCACCTAGTCTTGGTTTCCAGAGTGGGAGCAGCCCCATACTTGAAGCAGCCCCAACCACCTCCTTGTGTTGTTCATGTGTGCTGAGGAACAGGTTGCATCTCTCTCAACAGCAACAGGATCCTGGTTGCTGGGGAAGTGGCTGCACATACCCCTGTACACAGTGCCTCTGTGTAGTGCTGTGGTGGATGTTGCTATCCAGGATTATGTGGCTGACGTGGCCGCCGAACTTATCTACCAGAACAAGAGCCAGATCTCCACAGAAGTCCTCTTCGTCTTCCCCCTGGGTCCCCACATGGCCATTTACTCTTTCCAGGCCTGCAGTGAGGATGCCAAGGTCCAGGCCATGCTGCAGGATGAGGTACCAGCATCCAGGGACAAATGGGCAAACCACCACAGGGGCATAGTATGAGCAGCCTATGGCCTGCCTGATGATCAGCTTTCTGTCCCTCCTCTTCCCACCCAGGTCCAGCAGCTGCATGAGGCTACAGGGGGCTGGGAGGATCTGGAATACCTTCTGGATCAATCTCAGTACGTGGGCGAGGTGTTTGCCTGTCCCCTGGGCACCCTGTCCCCTGGCAGGGAAGTGGTCGTGACCTTGCACTATGTCCAAGAGCTGCCACGGGAGCCAGATGGAGCAGCCCGTTTTGTGCTGCCACCCACACTGCATCCCTACACAAACTTGTATGGTGAGTCGCCCCACAAGGAACCTGCCCACAAGGAACACACCCCACAGAAGGACCACAGACTTCCCATGTAATTTAACTTGATGCAACTTCCCTTGGCACCCACAGGGGCACCCACATTTTCCCCCCATGCAGCCCCCAGACAGATCGACATATTCTTCCTTGTGCCCCATGAGGGGATCCACACCTCATGCACACATTTCCCATAAACAGACTCATGGACTCTTCCATGCAGCTTACTGACAGCCCCCAATTCTCTCCATATACATCCTATATATGGGTGCTAAATCCTGCCCCTCTCCTCCCCAACACCTCAGCCCCACGGGAAGAGCCTTTGCCCTCCCCAGTGCCTTGCCTCTCCTTGCAGTCTGGGGTTGTCGCACTAGCGAGCTGCACTACAGCCTACTGCTCACCGCTAGCCTGCAGTCACCCCGGGGAGTGGCCAATGTCCAAGCCAACTTCGCCCTCACCCCTTTGATCTACACTGCCCGGGACTGCAGCACTGCACAGGTATGCCCTCCTGAGTGCCAGGATCCTGGGGGGAGCTGGGGAGGGGTGTCACCACTGAGAAAAAAGGGGCTGCATAGTGCCTGTGCTCCTGGCCAAATGCTGGCTCTGGTCCCCTTCTCCTGTGTATGACCAGGTACCCCTTCTCCAGGTCTCATTGGCTGGCAGGCCCCCAAGTCAGCATGATTTGGAACTGCTGGTGTATTACAGAGCCCCCACTGCAGTCAGTGCTGCAGTGGAGAAGGGAGACCCTGAGGCCCCTCCAGGTGAGTGCAGCTGGGGAGGGAACGTGGAGGTACTTCTGGGTTGCAGGAGGCCTTGGGGCACGGGGAGACACTGGGGATTCTGGGAGGCAAGATATCACTGGAAACTCTTACAGGAGTGGGAGGCATTCAGAGGGGATAGTTTGGGGTCTGGTGCTCTGGGTAGGGTGTTGGGGACATGTAGCAGGATGCATGCAGAAAATTCTGTATTAGGGCTCACTGGGTAGCTGTATTGGAGGCAGTGAGTTGGAACACATGGGGCACTGGGCTGTGCAATTAGTGGACAGTACAGTAGGGTATTGAGGTACCGGTGTTGCGCATCACAGGCTCTGGGACGGTGGAAGCTGAAAACACAATGAGAATCAGAACCAGCAGGAAAAGGGGGGTCCCTATCTGGTTTTCATCCCACTCTATGCCTCCTCCAGGCTCCCTCCTCGGTGACCCCATGGTGTTGGTGATGCTGGCACCCAGCATTCCTGAGACAGTAATTGGGCAGCGCCAGTATGGAGAGTTCATCTTCCTCCTGGACACCACTTTCCTTGAGCATGCACAGGTACTCCTTCAGAGTAGAACCATGATAGGGTGGAAGAGCAGGTTGAGGGTAAGCAGGCCAGGGCAGGCATTTACAGAAGGACAAAGATGTGAGGGAGGACTGGTGGGACCTGAAATGGTCCTGAAATACCTTGTGTGCCCAGGGGACTTCAGGTCACTGGTTCAGGTCATCCAGGGGACCCCAGAGCCTTTAGGAGGACCAGACTATGGGCAAAGCTATCTGTACTCTTCACATCTGCCTCCCAAGACCTGTCTGTGGTGTTTTTCCACAGGACTCCCTGCTCTTCCTTCTCAAAAGCCTGCCCCTGGGCTGTTACTTCAACATCTACTGCTATGAAGAAACCTCTGTGGGCATCTACCCGTGAGCAAACATGGGTGGGCTGAGTGCTATGGGGCTTGATTAGGTGCTGCAGGGTAGGGCTGGATACTGTGGGGCATGGCTAGGTGCTATGGGGCTGGAATGAGTGCCGTGGGACAGAGTTAGATGCTGGAGGACAGGTGTGCATGCTCTGAAATTGGCTGGTTGGTATGGGGCAAGGTTGGGCGCTTGGCTAGCTACTGTAGGGCAGGGCTGGATGTTGGAGACAGGATGTTTATGGCACAGTGGGACAGCAGCTCTTGGGGTTCTGCTGAGCAGAGGCTTGTAGGAACTATTGAAGCCAGGTATCTTCAAGAACTACTGTGGGGCGGGGACTTGCAGAGGACCCTAAAAGCATAGCTGTGGGAAGCGCTATGGGAAAGGGTCTCAGGAGCACTAGGGCCAGCACAGAGCAATGTGCTCTCCAACCACGCTGTGCCCTCTGCAGGCATAGTGTCGAATATACTCAGGACAACCTAACCGAGGCCATGAGGCGCATCCCCTCCATCGGCTCCAGTGTGGGTGACACAAACCTGCTGGAAACCCTCCGCTCAGTCTACAACACCACCTCCCACCCCTGCGGCCATATGCGCCAGGTATCGCTGTAGGGATGTGGAAGGGTGAAGGGACCAGTGTCCCAGGGGAGAGAGAGGGCACGGGTGTGTGGGTGGAAGGAGCCACCCAAAGTACACAGTGGTCACAAAGGAACAAGAAGAATACTGTAAGGTTGTGGGGGAATGGAGAGGTGGCTCTATATCTTTGGGGGTTTCCGCCCCTGAGTGGATATCTCTCCCTCTGTCTACAGGGGGTCTCTCTCCTGGTCCCCTCTCTCCATTTCAGGGGGCCTGCTCACCCCATTTTGGGGTCTCTGTGGCAGGGCCTCCACCACTCATGTCCCCTGTCTCTCAGCTCTTCATCTTCATGGCTGGACTACCCCCTGATAAGGAAGCCATCGCAGCTGAGGTCTGCCGTCACCGCAACAGCCACCGGTAATGGGGACTCTCCCCGCAGTCTTCCAGTCGCCCTTTGGTTGTCCAGTCATTTCCATCCCTGATGAGATCCCCTGTTCACCAGTTCCTGTCCCAGACCTTGGGCCCCTCCAGTGTCCCAAACACCCTTCCCACTCTGCACAGCTCTCCAGTGCCAGGCTCCCATATGGGAGTCATTACTTACTACTCCCACAGCCAAAGCGTCCTTCACAGAGTGAACAGGAACACTGAGGAACAGGGCTTGTACACCCTGATGTGTCCCCAAGCTCTGACCCAGCCCCACTAGACCTCTCCTCTCCCTGCTCCCTGACTAATGCCAGTTCCAACCTCAGTTCCTCACTCCCTGCTCTTCTTCGTGCCCCCATGTTCTCAGCACCGCAGCTTTCTTCTCCCAGCTTTAGCTCCAGCCTGTATCCTCCAGCTCTATCCCACATCCTTGCACCCACCTCTGGCTTTCATTTCTAACTCCTTTCCCTGCTTCCCCCGTAGGTGTTTCTCCTTCTGCTTCTCTGAGGACAGTGCTGCCCTGGCTATGGCCCTTGCCAGGGAGACAGGGGGTGAAGCTGCCTACGTCTCCTCTGACAACAGTATGACAGTTGTGGTAGGAACCCAGGAGTCCTGGCAGGTCTCCCTCTCTTCCACAGGCACACTCACTTGCAAGTACCCCAGCTCCTGGACTGCCCACATACACTGCCCTGTGTTCCTGCTGCCCCAGGAACCCAGTCCCTAGGCTTCCCCTGACTTTACCCCACCACAGCACCTCAGTGAGAACCCAGATGTCCAGGCTTCTACCCTGCTGTAACCCACGTAACCCCCAGGGAACCCAGTTGGCACAGGCTGCCCCACACATTCCATTGTGCCCCAAGGGAACCCCAACACTAGGGGGCATGGGCTGAAACTTGGTGGAGCTGTGATCTGTGGTGTCCTGTCCTCTGTGCCCAGGTGTTGAAGTGCCTGAAGCAGGCTCTCAAGCCAGCAGCTGAGGGAGTCTCTCTGAGATGGACCCTGCCCCACGGACTGGAGGTTGAGGTACTGGGGGACAGCCCTCAGTTCATCTTTCAGGGTCAACACAGCCTACTCTATGCCCAGATCCGTGGAAGGACACAGGTGAGAGCTGGGACTACAGTCACCCCCAGTTACTTCCCAATAGCCTCCCAGTAATCACCAGTAATCTCTCATTAAGTTTCCAATATCCCCCAGTTACCATCTTGTTTCCCCAGTAACCTCCCGTAGCTTCCTATGTGTTCCCAGGAAATGACGGTGGCCAAGGGGGTCATGACCTTGCAGTACAGCCTGAATGGCCAGGATGTCACTCACAGCCTTGAATTTCCACTGTGCCCACAGGGAGATGGTCGGTGAGAACCTGTCCTAAGGGAAGATGCATGCACCCTCCTCATTTCTAACATGGACTCCAGCTGAGAGGGGACCCAAATTGATTATGCATTCCTACCTTCCACACACAATCCCAAACCCAAAGAGAACCCAGGTGTCCAAGCATGCTCTCCTTCCCTGCTTTGACCCCACAGGGCAGGACCCAGAAACCTTGGCAGACAAGGACCTAGGTGTCCAGGCCTTCCCTCTGTCCATCCTCACCCTTGAATGGAGAGAACCCAGGTGTTGAGGCTCTCTCTCTGTCCACCTTTCCCCAGCATGGAGACAAGCCAAGTGATCAGGCTCACCCCATTGTCTCCCTAGGCTTGCTGGGCATCGTCTGGCTGCAAGACACTTGCTGAAGAGGTTGTTGCCAGAGGCTGTGAGTAGGTCAGGGGATGAACTGAGGCATCGCGCAGTGGAGATCAGCCTCAATTCCGGGATCATCTGCCCCTTTACGAGCTACGTGGGGGTTCGCACACCGCTGAGGGTCACCTGGTACCGAAGTATGGAAAGATACTTGTGGGAAAGAGCTGATGGGGCAGCTCCATGGGATGTTCTCCTTCCACTGGTGCTGGAACCCCACCCACAGGGCACCACCAGTCTCATGGGGTAGGGCCCATCACCACCCATGTGCTTATTTAAGCCCCTTTTTCTGCTTGCTCTTACAGGACCCCTGGCACTGCTGCCATCCCACCAGTCACTCATTCCCTGCCGAATCGTTGAGCTTCGTGGCTCCAGTAAAGTCTCTTCGTGCTATCCTGTGAGCATCTGGGTCCCACCTGGCTGGCTGACAGCAGTGCGTGCCTCATGGCTTGCCCTCTGTCAAGTCACCCAGGGCATTGCTGCCCTGCCCCAGTTGGGGGCTTGCTCAAAAGGTATGGAGTCTTGACCCAGATGGGAGATGTAGGGATAATCTAATGTTTTATAGAAGGGCTATGCTGCCATGTCTTGCCCATGGTATGGAATTAGTTATCCTTAAACCTGGAATTCCTTCAGCAACTATGAGACCCACCAACTATGAGTACCTCAGGACATCCAGGGACAGGACAGGGATCATAAACACACATTTGGACAAAATGTGTTTGGGGCGTATCAATAGAAGTCTTGGGACATGGCTGGGAAGGAATGCCTGGAGAAGAGGCAATGATCAGGGTTGGAGACGAGTTAGAGGTATCCAGAAAGGGCTGCAGATTGGTCTGCTTTTGGAACCTGCAGGAAGGAGCTGAGACTGCAGATATCTGCCTGAAGAAGAGCAGAGCTAATGTTCTGGAGCAATATTACGCAGTGATTTTCTCAACCTTTCTGTTCATATCCCCTCCCACAGCATGTAAACCACCACCACCATCTATTTCTTCTCTCAAGTATGTGGATCCCATGGAATTTGTTTTGTGCTCAATTAGTGGGCGATGGTGCACTGAAGCCATTGCTGAGTGCCAGGAGCTGGTGGCCCTGCAGAATGCAGATGGCTCCTGGGCCCTTACCTCAGGACTGGCCTCTGTGCTGGAAGTCGATGAGGACGAACTCAAGAGAAAGATGCCTGGTGAGGTAAGGGGAAAACCCCTTACAGTGGCAGTGAGTCATCGTGGGGAAGTGGGTACCCCTTGGCTGGTGGCAACACTGACATTCAAAGGGCAGCCAGAAAGGAATGAAGGGATCAGAAACCAGAAGCCACAAAGGAAGGCATGGGAAACAGGGAGGGGGCAGGGAGGATGCTCAGCACTGCACGATAGTCTGAGTCATTGTTCTCCCACAGGTCATGGAGTCAAGTATCTGGGCCACAATGCTGGCTGTGACCTGGCTACACAGACATGATAAGTGTTACCAAGACGTCTGTGAGTTGCTGGAGGCCAAGGCTGTGACCTGGTTGTGCAGCCAAGCTGGTGAGTCTTGAGGATCCTTTTCCTGCTGATCCACACAGCATAGCCTCCTCCCTTCTCTCTCTAGTGGGAACTGCCTCACCCCTTTCCAGGACCACAATTTCCTGGGGGCAGGTGAAAGAGTCCCATGTCCCCATTTTCCTTTCCATCTGTGGACTCTCTCTCCCACCTGACTTCCCTAGTGTCCCTGTCTCTCCCTGACTGCAGCGTCTCAGCTGGACAAGTGCCTGGAGGCAGCCAACACCCTCTTTGGGAGCAGCGTGAAGTCGAGTGTTTTCAGGCTCTGAGCTCAACACATGCGTTGTGCTACAGAGCAGCACCATCAGCAGAGCTACAAAGGGCGAGAAAATATAGCCTAAATTCACCTACCGTGCTGGGATACCACTATTGCTACTAGCTGGGGTCTTACATTACAGATGAATTCTCACTGCTTATGTCTTATACTAGTTGGGCTGAACCTGTATCGTGCTGAACTTCACAAGAGAAAAGCTCTAGTTCAGAGCCTCCAGCATGTTTGGTTTGGGCAGAGGTGGGAGTTAGAAGGAAACATCACATTCCACAGTGGTTGCATCTCCCATGTTTGGCTTTGGCAAAACGGGCTACTGGCCTCCACAAAGATAGCTCTTAGGGACATGATTTAGTGGTGGACTTGGTAGTGTTGCGTTAACAGTTGGACTTGATGAACTTAAGGGTCTTTTCCAACCTAAACGATTCTATGATTCTACGGTTTCTGTCCTAATAAGAAAGCCCTGTGCACACCAGGAAACTGTTTAGAGGTGTCAACAGCAGGCACAGTAGCAGTGCCTCCCAATGAAGGACTCCTGCTGAGGCCCACTCGCTGACCTCTTCACTTTACCCCTGTGTCAGGAGCTCCCATATCTGCACTGCCATGTGAAACAATCATTTTGGATGTAAAACTCATCTGCATAAGACCCAGCCCATAATAATGTCCAAGAGAACTCATATGGGGCGAGATGGATTTGAAACCTAGAAGCATGTTGGAGGTGGAACTGCAAGAGGTTTTGATTAGCAAATATGCAACGTACTCCCTTCTGCCCCAGCACCCTGAATTCAGGGGTCTCATTCCAAGTTGGCAAAGTTTCTGATCCATTTTCCATTAAATATTGAATCTTCTCTAAACCAAAAGGTGTCATATCGCCTTTATTTCAGTTGGGCCTATGATCCTTCCTTCCAGGGGCCATCCAGTCACCAGGAGGGGCACAAGAGGATGTCTCTTCCCAGAGATCTGTGTATTATAAATAAGATGCTGCCATTGCTCTTGTAAGAGCACAGATCTGTTCTAGGTTAGCAAGACAAGAGATGAAGACTTGCCAGGATTTTTCTAGACTCCTTTTGGCTAGAACTTAGTTCAGCTTGATCTTAGCAGTACCGGCTGTAGCAACATTTGCTCAGCAGATAGGTGACTGATATCTAACTTATCCTGGCTGTAATAGAAAAGTTGTCTGGTGATTAATGTCCAACTTGGTTTTAGCTTCAAGTTTTTAACTCCATTGGAGCATGCAACTCTGAAAATAAATGCTGTTCTCCCTTTAAGCTTCACCTCTGTTGTCTGGAGCAGACACATCACAAATGTCTGAGTGCACTGGCAACCCTGTCCTGCCCTTGGGGTCAGTGGGGAGACAGAGGAATCACCTTCCCCAGAGATGCAAATGGAATGGGGCTGAGAGGAATGTGCCCTCCCACACTCCTTGGGGTGTACCCTCCAGGATACTGATTATTTCCATAACACTAAGAAATGGCATTCAGGTGCTTCAGGCCCAGATCTCCATCTATGGAAGGAAGAGTGAAAGAGCTGAACTTTCTGTTGGCCTTCCTGTGAAGATTTTCAGAGAGAATAGGGAGGTAAGTGATATGGGGCAGAACAGGTGACACCCAGACCTGAGTCTTCGTTCCCAGGCACCATCACAGGAAAGGTCATCACTTTATGCTGAAGATTAGAGGAAAGTGCCATGCTTCCTGAGGCATATCTGTGTTGTTCTTATTTAGCCAGAGGGTCTTTGCGTAGTTAAATGAGAGGCAAAGACGTGTGGTTTAGTTCTGCCTTTTTCTGGATGTCTTTCTCCTGCTTACCCCTTCTGAAATTCCAGAGAGAATGGTTATGGGGGTTGAGTTACAGCTGTGCTGTTGCAGTGTTGGACCCAGCCCTGGGACACTTACACACCTAAGCTGAGGTGCTGACGGAACTTAGGAAGAATATGGGTCAAGGTGGCCAATACTTCTCACTTCATCTCTCACTGGGCTGTTCCATAAAACAATCCCTCTCTCTTTGTAACCTGGGATTTCATCTCACTCCTTCAGGTTTTTAACACTTTAGTCTCATTCATTTGCCCAGGAGATTTGAAAACTCTTCATTCACCATGTTCACAGGGGAAATTTCTCCTAATTTCACCTGTCATCACCATTTCCAGACACAATTTATCCCAGCCTGGGAGAAAGCTGTATTAGAGTTTGGGTGCATCACCTTTTTGAGCAGCCCACCCATCCCAGGATTTCTATGGACTGCCTACCTTCTTTCCTTCAGCATCTCCACCTCCTGGTAATGGCTCAAAACTCATGGGGAGGAAATCAGCAGGGACATCACTGTGCTTACCCAGAATGTTGGAGAAAACACTAGGATGCAGTCTGGGGAGAAGGTTCTGTTCCTCAAGCATGGACTTTCCCTGAGCGCACATGCAGACTTGTTAATAGGTATTTACCACAAGCACACACGAGATGCTGCTCCTTCCCCACTTCCCCCTCTGTTCACTCAACCTCTTATTGGCAACACAGCACAGAGCCCCAAAACCACAGCTGAGACCTCAGAGGTATTCAAAACCTGCGGTGCCAATTCTTCTCCTGACAGAAGAAAGGGCACCTGATATGATACGACATCAGTTGAGTGTTTTCCTCTGTTACTGGGGAGGAAAGTGCAAAGCAATATGAGCCAGTGAGGAAAGGAACTGTGACTACAGGAAAGATATGTGGAGAGATCTGTAATACCATACATGGGCTGTGGCATGTGGTTACGATAATCACAGCAATAGCAGGTGCATTTATGTCAGTTATGTCTGTGTACACTGGCCTGTATTTGACTACAATATAGCTGTGATATGATTGTGAGAAATGGGCTGAGTTTTGCTTCAGCTAACTGATATATTTTTGTTAGTATGTCTGTATTGACAGAGGAGGCCCGTTGATGGTGGAGCCTCACCCATTGTACCGAACTAATCCTTAGAAGCGCCCTGGGGCTGTCCAGGGGTCCTGGTCTACGGGAAGTCATCTAGGTGAAGAGAGCAGGGCCGATGGCAGAATGATAAGTGGACAAAGGACTGTGAAGACTGACAAGTGGATGAAGGTCATCTAGAGGGTGGCTGATGAAGATGAAGATACGACCAGCAGGGTGCTTGTAACTACTAACACTGGACAGTAGATGATAGCAAAGACTGTGAAATAACGTGTAGCTAATCAACTAATCAAAGGTGTGTTTAGAGTAATGATTTTGTAGAGTAAGAGGGTATGCTTTGTAAGGTAAAAAGGTGTAAACTAGATCTGTAATAGGTCAGGCGGTCGGGAAGAATGTGAGCTCCAACTTCTCAGCCAATGAGAAGAGAGACAGTAACTCAGGCGGCCAGGATAAGGGTATAAAATATCAAAAAGCTAACTGGTTGGAGTGCCTCTGCTTTGAGATGCACCCGATTCAGCGCTGTTTCGTATAATAAATTTTTATACCTTTGCTTCGGCGATTTTGTCCTTTTTAAATTCTAAGTGTGAGCCTGTGTTCCTCACATGATTAACTCTGACAACTGGCAGTGGATACCTATCAAACAGCCACACAGTCATGGACACTGTTAGCAGCGCAGTGTTATAGTTACCAGGCACATTCAGATGCCTTAGGACAAGCATTCTCAGATCCCTGAGAGCTACCAGCCTGCTGAGGTCCACAAGACCTGCATGTTGATCTTTAGCGTCCACACTCAAGGCTCTGGCGTTTCCAGATCACCCCATGTGACATGATGAGCTGGCCTGGAGAAGACCTTTGCCTCCTATTCTGCACTAGGAGGTGTTGGTTTGCTATGATCCCAGTACAAAAAGCACTCAGACCACGTAAATTATAATTTAAAACACTATTAAAGCTGACTCCATAAAGAAAGAGAGGCTAATTCAGTTAATGTTATGTCCTTTCAGACACTGGGAACACCAAGGTGTGAAGCACCAGCAGGATCTCAGGCTGGGGAGCAGCACAGCACGTGGCTCCCCTGCCTGGAAGGGTCACTGGAGCTATGGGGGGATTTGCTTAAAGGAAAACACCCACACTCATCATTCCTGATGTCCAACAGAAAGGATACCTATGGTAAGGGGTAATTCATGTTGCCTACATCCAGATGGGGTTAACCACTTTTTGATGGTACTCTGGGCTTCAAAGTAGGAGCGCAGATCAATTTTGGCTAGACATCCACCTTTTTGAGGACATAAATTAGGCTAATATCTCCTGTAAAAGTGTAACTGGTAGAGGGAACATTACCAGTTTATATCACTATAAATTATTTAATCTTCCATAGAGTCTTCTAGTATAAAAGACATCACTTTCTCAATTGAAAAAGTAACTGAGAAATTAAACAGTAGAGCTATTATAAGGATCTTAAACCTCCTGGTTTCTTTAAAATAAATGTTGAAATCAATCCTCAAAAATGCATAATATATTACATATATTATGTGTATATGCAGGTGTGTATAAATATATGCACATACACATGTATATCTATATATTTCCTTTCCTATTTGGTAGCTGGCACCAAATACACTCATGCCAGTCCCTGCATTATCTGGCACTCAGTCCATGCAGCACATGTACACACAGACAGACACTACACAGAAAGAGTTAGAAAGGATTAATAAGAGGACAGGACAGGCCATGGTGATCAGGTGCAGGGCTCAGACTTACAAGCACTGACACACTCTGATTTACAGCCCTAATTTTCACTTCAGTTTACTCTCCCCCCAAATATTCCTTTGTAATTTCACGCCTTGAATACCCCATATCCTCAGTTCCTCTTGTCCCCTTTCTCATCAGTTACAAATTTTCAGGGGAATCTCTCCAAAGCCATGTATGGAGTTTCTTAATGGCCCATCAAGTAGTGATTGAAGACTTCTGGTCTCTGACATTGTCCCTATTATCCCCTTTCTACCAGGATTGTGTCCCTTTGTGCTCCTGTTTATTGCTTCCTCCCTTGTTTGTTATCATCTTTGCACTGAAAAGGTCCTTGATCAGATAACCCTAATGAAGCAGACCCTCTCACCTTCCATATATCTTTACAGTCAGCACCTCCAGACACTCACATAGTTCTTCCTTACCAGCTGCCATCTTTCAGCAACATCTTCACATCTGTCATCTCCCCAGAGATGCTGTG